AATTCCCGCTCGCTTTTCTTATCACCCGGAAGAGTGGACTAGGGCAGCGAAGCAGACTGTAGTTAAACAAACAGAGGTCATAGCAATTGCCACACATTAACGCACAGAGTGATCTAGAAACACCCAAGGATTACACAGCGCATCCCTTCATTATGGGCCACTCCGCGTCTTTTGGCTCACGCTGTCTGACTTCCAGTCACACCTCTCAAGTGCTCCACTTGTTAGAGTTTAGGACCACAGGCAACACCCGTGTGTGGTTCAAGCACAGACCATAATGGCTCCACTCACGGCCCTTCTCGCCTGCATTAGTCCCAAGTTACCTCCACATTCTGATTCACAGCTGGGCCTGTTCTCTGGATTTCTCTTCGGAGGGCTAAGAACACCTTCCTGACTGGTTCATTAACAACTTGAATATTATTTTACATCTGTATGGCAGCCATCATCTTATCAATGTTCAAAAAACTTTAACAAAAGCTAGTCACACCCATACATGAGTTGATCCCTTGTTTCTCCAAGAGGCCTGTGGAGCAGCAGCCTAGCCAGCCCTGGGATGCTCTTTAGAAAACAGGACTGCTAGCCAGACACTGGAGTTAAATAAGGCTGGTTAGTACAGGGTAGTGCAGGTTAGTACACATCCTGGCGACCTCCAGTGTGGGAAACCAGATCTACCGTCTACCCAGCCTTTCCTGGCCTTCACTAGCTGTTGTCTCCTCCATGACTAACCACACAGCTCACTGCCAGCAGCCCCATCTCTGGAAGCCAGCCCTGAACTCACAGACCTCACTTTGAGGAGGAAAAGGACACTCTCCTCTAGCCCACCGCTTCTCCCCTGGGGCCACAGCAGGGAGAATAGCTGCTCCCAAGGCTAGGAAGGGCGAAGAGAGAGGCAGAAATGGCATCGTTCGCAGTTCTTCAAAGCTCAGGTGAAAACATCTTCCTCACATTTAAGTTTTCTTATTAGGATTAACCTGTATATCAGTATATCAACTTTTGAGAAACACCAGTTTGGGGGCTGGGGCTTAGCTCGGTGGTACAGACCCTTGCCTGGCATGAATCGGGACCTGAGAGAAGAACAAGAAAAGCAGGGAGCAAAGCAAAGGTCAGTCTCACCTTCAGCGTCATGTGGTGCTCTCTATCCAGTTTTCTGTCCTGCCTCCCGTCACCTAAATCAACTGATAACATGAGGGCCTGTGGCTCACGGGCCTGTGAGCAGGGGAGCAAACCTGGCTTCTTGCCCAGTGGCGCTTACAATCCAGTGGGGGTCAGGCACTGAGCTGACAACCCAAGATGACCAAAACCAAAAGGAACAAAAGAGCAGCAGAAAGGACGCTGATAGGGAACTTCGGCGAATGAAGGAAAAAGTAACGCAAATCTATAAGGTCACCGTGGCTGCTCGGAATGACACTGGAAACCATGCCCTCCACACGGTGGGCAGGGAAGGGGTACATCCGTGCTCTACAGTGTCGTGGGTATTAGGGAGTGAAAAGCAACAGTTCTAAGGCTACAGTCAGTGATATACTGATGCCTACGATAGCTACCACCCTGTGAAAGGGGACAACTCACTGCCCCATGCCACCCACATGTACCTGCGTTGTCAGGATAGCTGCTGTCCTGTGAGAGAGGACAGGTGCCCCACACCTCGCACACACCACCTGTGCTGTCCTGATGGCCACCACGCTGTGAAAGACAGCAGGTCTGTCTCATACACCCACACACACTCGTGCTGTCCGGCTTCCTGGCATTCAGCTGACTGGCTCAGATCCGCATCCTCTTTGTTCCCTTCTGGATCCTGCTTCTACTAAGTGTTTTGCTGAAGCATGAAGAGTCATCATAGGCCAGGCCCAATGGTGGACACCATTCACACAGCTTGGATCACCCACGGGGATGCCACAGTGTAGGTTTCTCATAAGCCACCAATTTGAGCGAAGCAGGACCTGACGGGCAGGAAGCCAAGCTTCCCAATTTCTGTGCCCCTCCATGACTTATCAACTGTGCTGTTGGCATCATTGTGATGCAATGGCGAATCTGTTTTTATCTAAAATTCACTCAGAGTAACCAGATGCCAGCTGAAGGTAGCAGGGGCAAAGTGTCATCAGCAGAGACCCATTTACAGAAAAGAGCTGGGCAAGCCAGCCTGACTCACGCTGACACTATCTGGGATCAAGTGGCCATCTGACGGGCACCAAGCCTTTGGGCATGCCCAGATCTTGCCAGATCACTAGAGGAGTTTGGGTGTCAGAATGAGCAACCGCTGAAACAGAAGTTCATAATCAAGAAGAAGTAACAAGTCACTGACACAGCTCTAGAATCATGTCGGTCAGCACAACCATTTGGGCCTGCATGTGAGTGTCATGTCCCACCTTGTCCAGCAAGGATGACGCGCGACACACCGGAGCTCTTCTCACTGCAGTTTATTCCAGGACTTTATTTTCTCTCTCTCTCTCTCTCTCTCTCTCTCTCTCTCTCTCTCTCTCTCTCTCTCTCTCNTACAAACAAAAAGGAAGTATTGCGTTCAGCCTCGACCAGCAAGGAAGACGCAACACAGGAGCTCTTCTTACTAGGCAGTTTATTCAGGACCTTGTTTTCTTTCCCTCTCTCTCTCCGGGCAAACCTCTCCCAGCCCTTAAATAGGCATGGGCTGCCAATCCCGGATTGCCAGGTGGGCACTGCCCACAGGCCCACGCATATGCAAGCAGCTGATGATCATTGCGTGATCAGGCATAAGTCAGACTGTAGCCATAGGAGTTGATTATACATCTCCATCAGGTGTGACACCACGCAGCTCGCTACATGTGGGTCCTCTTCCCTTTCCAAGAATCAAACAAACTGTAACTGGGCTTGTTGTCAAGGGATCACTGTCTTCTATTCCTAAAACACACACTTCATTACATTTTGTCCTTTCTGGACCTTTGGCGGTTCTGAGGGTTCAGAGTTGAAGGTGGGTAGCTGACCTCCCAAGGTCTGTAACTACAGACTTGCGCCATTTCATTAAAGCTCTTAGAAGTTGAGGGTGTGGTAGTTTGAATATAACTGGCCCCCATAACCTCATAGGGAGTGGCACTGTTAGGAGGTGTGGCTTTGTTGGAGTGGGTTTGGCCTTGTTGGAGGAAGTGTATCACTCTGGGGGCGGGCTTTGAGGTTCCCTATGCTCGAGATACTGCCCAGTGTCTCAGCTGAGCTCCCGTTTTCCTGCTAGATAATACTCTAGCACCACGTCTGCCTGTATGCCACCATGCTCCCCACTATGATGATAGTGGGCTGAACCCCTGAAAGTATAAGTGAGCCACCCCAATTAAATGTGTTCTTTATTAGAGTTGCAATAATCATGGTGTCTCTTCACAGCAATAAAAAAGCCCTAACACAGCGGGGTCCAAATAGCTGGCTACTACTGGTCCACACTGAAGTCAGCTGCTGTTAAACAGATGAAACACATCAACCAGGAGCACAAGGAGTATGGAGAGACAGTTAATACAGAAACATAAATAGTCAGATAAGCAAATGAATAAGCAGTGCCAGTTGCGGTGGCACAGGCCTTTAATCTCAACACCAACATAGTGAGACCATCTTTAAAAAGAACAGAAAAGATTATGTTAGCAAGTTGGTCCCCGAACTAAAGCAAGGAGGTGGCAGTCTGGATTCATTGCTCCTTTTCCACTGGAAGCAGGTGTTAGTTCTTTAAAATGACAGAGCAAACACGTGTTTTCCTAGTGTGCAAATAATTTTCACTGATGGCATCCAAAAGCCTAGGTTCCGCTGACCTCCATGAGAAAGAGTTCTGATATCCAAGGTTAAGGGATGCTGGGGGGGGGGGGGAGGTGAAGATAGAGCAGGATGTTGTGTGATTGTTGATTCTAAGTCAGCGCCCACCATGACCAGGACACTGACAGCAGCCAGTGTCTTCAGTCTCTGACTGATGTGGCATTTGGGTCCAAAACAAAGGAAACATTTTCATAAACGGAACTTGATAGAGAGTGTTTGATATCTTGTCCACTAGCATAGATGCCCTTGGGGACAGTGTCTCCTCCTCTCATCACAGAGGTCCTGCAGTGAGGCGTGGGAGGGGAACAAAGACAAATGCTATGGGCAAAGGCGGAAACAAGGACCCACTCCTAACTTGGAAAGGAAGTCCAAACAAGTTACAGATGAGAAAGTTAATATTTTTTTTCTCTGTCAAAAATCTAAAGAACCCACTGTGTTCGACTGGCTGTGGGGAAAGGAGAGCTCACACTGGTCACTGCTGAGGATGACAGCATTTGTAACCCCTGTGAGCCTTTGCAAGAGTTTGGATGTCCATGTCCTCCAAAGGCCTGGGTGTTCCCCAGCAAGGGAACACAGTTTAGAAGGTGGAGCCTGTGAAGAAATTGTGGGACCCCAGACCCTCCCTCTTCCTCTGAAAAAAGTTAGTTCCACCCAGAACTCCCTGCTGTTGCCATCTGGGGTCCCATAAGGACCCAAAGCAATGGTCCTTATGTCTCTACCCAAAGTAGAGACTCCATCCCAAATGGAGTTTCCAGAACAGAAAGAGGTAACCCTCTTCTCATGAGTTAATCCAGGGTGGCTTACAGGATGGAATTCTGATTTAAGAAGAGCAATTTGGGGACTGGAGAGATGGCTCAGTGCTTTAGAGAACCTGGTGAGGACCCAGGTTCAGCTCGCAGCACCCACACAGTGATTCACAACCATCACTAACTCCAGTTCCAGGGATCCGATGCCCTCTTCTGACCTCTCTGGGCACCACCCACACATGTGGAACACAGAAAGATAAACATGCAGGCAAAATTTTCATGCATAGACCTAAAAACAAGTTTTTACAAAAGAACAATTTATCAAATACAAAACCAGCTTTAACCGCTTCATGCTTAGACTCTTGCCCCTTAGACACAGCTGCTGCCCAAACACGTCAGACTCTAAAGGCTGCCACTATCAGTTTTGAAGTAAAATGGCCACGCTGGTCTCCCACCGCCATTGTAACCACAAACAACAGAGACACTTCGTCTTACAGTTCTGAGGTCACAAATCCAAAACGCATCGCAGAGGTTCACGGGAAAGGTTGGCACCTCCGGCATGCCGTCTTCTGTACCTCTTTGGGGTGCCCCAGACTCCCTGAGTCAGATCCTTACATCACACCAAGCTCTGCCCGCATTCTTGATGAGTGCTCTGGCTAGGCCCGGCCTTCTGCTCCCCGCTAATAAGGACACGTGGTTGATTCCACGAGGCCTACCTGGACAGCAGAGCGCAAACGCTCCACGTGCCCATCCTTAGCCACGAAACCTCCTTCAGCTGCAGGCTGACACGCAGCGAGATTTCAGGGCCTTAGGCTGGGGATGTCTTTGGCTCAGTAGCAAATCACTAGAAGTGGGTCCCCGTCAGTAGTGGACTGGTTAAATAAATTAAGATAAACAGAATACCATCATTCTTCCAACCATGAGAAAACTCATTATGAGCTAAAAGAAAGTGCTCCAAAATGCAGTAGTCACTAGAAAGAGCCAGGCGAAGGCCAGAGAAAGACATGTAACACAATCTGCTTCTGCTCCTGATAGTATTAAAGTGTATCCGGCTAGAAAGGAATGGGTGGGAAGGAAGTGGGGACACTGGCAAATGTCTTTTCATTAAATGCTCCATAACTCTTTGGTTTCTGAAACTTGTAACTGTAGCACTTATCCAAAAAGTGAGACAAGATCTAAAAGGGGGGAAAAAAGTCGAGGAGGAAAGACCAGGACAGATGAAGATTCGAAGGCAGGTGGAACCAAGCTAGCCAGTGGGGGCTCTCAAGGCAAAAGACACAGAAAGCAGCTAGGGCTACAGCATAACGCTGGACACTTGCCAACATGCCAGAGGCTGTGCCCCAAACCAAAAAACACACTAGATCATACGGGATTTCAGTGCTATGTAACCAATTACCATAAAACAGCAGTTCACCCCCCAAACAGTCACCATCAAATGAGCTCTGTGAGACAGACACCCAAAAGGAAATATGGTGAAAGACTTGAGTGGGCACTTCGTGTAGATACATTTAAGTAGCCTATAAAAATACATTTTAAAACTTAATAGCATTAGTTAATGTGGAAAGTATAATGAGGCACATCTGCTTTGAGGAGGAGAAGGGGCGGAGCAGACATCAGCAAGCATGGAGAACAGCTGGGCTCCGAGGCCCTGCTGGTACAGTGCTTAGGCTGCACATGTAGTAGCTATCAGAGGGGTGTGCACCTGGACGAACTCTGCCACTTGGCCGGGCATTCTGCTCCTGGGCATGCGCCAAGAGAAATGCACATGTGTAGGGAAAGGGGAACCTTCATTCAAGGTTGGTGGGATGGCAAACTGGTCCAGGCACTCCAGAAATCAGCATGGAGATTCTCAAAAAGCTCAAAATAATCTACCAAATGACCAAGCTATACCCCTCCTTGGCATCTGCCCAGAGAACTCAACATCCTACTCCACAGATACTTGCTCAGGCACGTTCACTGCTGCTCTGTTCATGATAGTTAGGAAATGGAAACAAACAAACAAACAATGTCCTTCAACCAATGAATGGGTGATGAAAATGTGGCACATATACGCTATAAAATATTATTCAGCTGTAGAGAAAAATGAAATCATGAAATTTGCAGGTAAATGGATGGAACTAGAAAAGATCATACCGAGTGAGATATCCCAAACCTAGAAAGTCAAAGGTGACATGTTCTCTTTCACTGTTGGCTCCTAGCTCCTAGTCATCATGTGTGAGTCCACAGTTTGTAATGACTACAAAAATCAGGAAAATAAAGAGGACCATTGCTGGGGTGGGGGAGCAACAGACAAGGAAATAACAGGGTACAAATGGTCTGATTAGGGAATGGGAAAAGGGGTGGAGGAGGGAGGGTAAAATAAGAGTAAGGATGCCTGAAAACGCCATAAGAAACCATACTATTTATTAACTGTCTACCTAAAAAAAACTATAATACGCATAAGTCTATATATACATGCATAGATGAAATGTAATTTCCCCAGCTGGGCCAACCATGCTCCCTTCAAGAGCCAAACATCACCTAACAAAAATCCCAGTACCAGACATTTCTCTTTTGAGTTGGTCTCGTTTGTTCAAGAGACTCCCAAAGCCGCACAGGCTACTGCTAATGTTCTTGGTTGATGATCCCCACCGCACCCCCAGCCCCGAGGTGGAAACCAAGTCCCTAATGCTGAAGATACCATGCACTTTAGACACTGGGCCCAGGGCTCCTGAGCTGGAGCTGATTTGAAAGCTTCCTTCCTGAGGACTAGCTCTCATGGTACCAGAAGGCACCATGCAAGCCTCCAAAAGAGGGAGGTAGCCAACTGTCCTGCCCAGCTATGGCACCTGTGAACCACCATGACAAGCAGGGGCCCATAGCCCTAAAGGTACGGTTGAGCTAACCTTTGTAAGCTTAGAGATCACAGGGTGTATAGCTTTCTGTTGCTGTGATAAACAGTACAACCAAAGCAGCTTGGGGGAGAAAGAATTTATTTGGTTTACACTTCCACATCACAGTCCACCACACTGAAGGAAGTCGGGACAGGACCCTGGACGCAGGAACTGAAGCAGAGGCCATGGAGGAGCCTGCTTATTGCCTTGCTCAGCCTGCTTTCTTACACCATCCAGGTGACACTACCCACAGTGGGTTGGGTCATTAACCAAAAACATACCCACAGGCCAATCTGATAGAGGAAATTCTTCAAGTAGTGGTCCCTCTTCCCACCGGGCTCTAACTTGGGTTAGGCTGACAAAAAACTAGCCAGTGTATGGATGTGATCAGTTTTCAGTTTTTCACCAAACAGGGTTTGTAAAATTTTGTATTGTATTGTATACACATACTTCAATTAGAAAGCAACATTTAGCGGGGCAGTGGTGGCACACCCCTTTAATCCCAGCTCTTGGAAGGCAGAGACTCAGAGAAGGCAGATCACTGAGTTTGAGGCCAGGTTGGTCTACAGAGCAAGTCTAGGACAGCCAGAGCTATGAAGAGAAACCCTGCCTCAAAAAACAAACCAGTAGATGATAGATAGATAGATAGATAGATAGATAGATAGATAGATAGATAGATAGATAGATAGATAGACAGACAGATAGATATAAATAAACAGACGCCTAGGGAGGAAAAATACACTAGGAGAGCAACACTCTTTTCCTGTGATATTAAGTCGAGGGCCTCATCCCAGCCCCCCCTCCAGCCCCCACTCCTTGGCACCCATCTTTGGAAGTCCCCTCCCCTGGGAGTTGCCTTGGTCTGGACCCCATCTCCGGGAAAGCACACCAAGCACTGACCCTTCCCCAGGGAGGGTCAGGACCACTCCCACAGGCTATTTAGGCTGGGCCCAGAAGAGGAGCACGTGGTCTGGGATTTCCCATGGTCTCCCCTGCTCTCTCTTTCTCCCCATGCTTTCCCGGCCACCCGGGAGCACTGCTTTAAACGTGGTCATCTTTTATTCGGTGTAATTTGGTCTGATTGGAATTACTTGTGTCGGCAGAAATGCTCATCTTAAGAATATTTCTAACATTTCCAACAAGAGCTGATTCTGTTCACCAGAGAACTTGTGTAATCCCAAATAAGCAAATCAACCAGGCTACCTCTCTCACTTACTGTGTCTGTGAAGTCATCTCATTGTTTTGTCTGCCTCTCAGTTCTGGGCATGGAATCAAGTGTTCTACCCCTTTAGCTTTATCACCAGTCTGTAAGGGCATTTTTAAAAGTTTTTTACAGCCAGACAGTGGTGGTGCACGCCTTTACAGCACTCGGGAGGCAGAGGCAGGTGGGTCTCTGTGAGTTCGAAGCCAACCTAGTCTACAAGAGCTAGTTCCAGGACAGGCTCCTTAGATACAGAGAAACCCCATCTCAAAAAAAAAGTTTTTATACATTTATATTATCTGTGGGGGAGGAGTGTTGCACACGTACACACGGAGGCAAGAGAACAACTTTGGAGAGCAGGTTCTCTCCTTCTACACATGGGTTCCGGAAACTGAACTCAGGTTGCCAGGCTTGTTGACAAGGACCTTTACCTGCTAAGCCATCTTGCCAGCCCCTATAAGCTCATCTTACTGTCAGCTGTTTTTAGTTCAAGGGATGGAATCTGAGGCTTTCTTCATGCAAAGCAAGTCCTCTACCTCTGGGCAACATTGGCCAGTCTATGTAGTCATTTCTGAGACTATGGTTCTGAGGCTGATTTTTCCCTGTACTTTCATTTACTAACATTAACGTGACTAGAAGAATTCTAGGGGCTGGAGAGATGGCTCAGTGGTTAAGAGCATTGCCTGTTCTTCCAAAGGTCCTGAGTTCAATTCCCAGCAACCATATGGTGGCTCACAACCATCTGTAATGAGGTCTGGTGCCCTCTTCTGGCCTGCAAGCATACATGTAGACAGACTAATAAATGAATTCTAGTCAGGTAAGTGAAGGTGTTGGGCTGGGGATGTAGTTCAGCGAACAGTGTGCTTGCACAAACCCACAAACTGGTCCATGAGGCCTTGCCGCAAAGAAGAAAGTGTCTCTGTCTCAAGAAGTTTTCTGAAACAGACTGGTCACAGCACGGTAGACAAAACAAAGCATGCAGACTCAGTACCAAGGAGACAGATCAAGGTCAGGGGTTAAGGGAGGATAAGCTGCTGTACAACGTTTCTAAGAAGTGGTGGCATGCAGGAGGAGGGTTTTTTTTTTTTAACATTTATTTCTTTTTATTTTTTGTGTCTGTTTTGCTTGCGTTTATGAACATACACTATGTGTATGCAGGAGCCTGTAGAGGCCAGAAGAGGGCGCTGTAGGATCCCCTGGAATTAGACTTAACAGGCAGTTGTGAGCCACCATGTGCTTGATACTGACTAGGTCCTCTGCAAGAGCCATCTCTGCAGCCCCAGGAGAGTTTGTAAAGGACCAACAGGTATGTGTATGGATGGAGAGAAGCCAGGAAGATGGGAAGAGTGAGGAGGATTTCTGGATAACCTATACAGGGTCAGGAACACAGATGAAAGAATGGGCACCTAAATCTTGATAATGGCTTGCCTCTTGGCTTCCAAGAAAAGTCCCCAAGATGTCCCACAATGTCCCAGAGATTCTGACTTCTCGACCACACATCCACCTGACCTCGGCTGGGCC